TCTCAAGCCCTGCTATGATCTTCTCACTTGCTCGCACTCACCTAGCACTTTCCAGACTTCCCACCTTTACAGAAGCAGCCAACCTGGTCTCAGAATGTCCTCTCCGCTTCACTTTTATTTAAAGCCTTTAGAGATATCAGGAAACAATTGTGGCTGCACCCAGATTGCTAAATAAACTCCAAGCAATCATCCACTGTCCACTCCGTCACAATCATCTATTTGGGTTGTTGTTTTCATCTTTATGTTAAATTTTCAATTATTTGTATCTTGTCTCCCTATTCCTTGAACGTATACTTTAACATTTGATGATGAAGGGGAAGACCAAAATGGGTCCCCTAAAAAAAGGTCATAATTAAAGTCTATTTATACCAAATTTAAGTTAATTAAGCGGGCTTAGGCAAAATAAAGGTGAGAAGCAAGGGCTTTAAACTAAGTTAGCTTGCTTTTAAATCTGTGATCAGGCACCTAAACTAGTTACGTGATATTCGTCAGGTTACTTAACCTTCCTAAAGCTTCAGACTCTGAATGGAGATAATAATAGCACCTGCCTCATAGGGCTGTGGTAAGAAGCAGATGCAATTCTGCATGTAAAGCAGAATTGTGCGCATCGCTTAGCACAGAGTAAACTTGAAAATATTAGCTATATGGCAATAATGCTGATGGTGATTATGGCAATGATGATGAAAAGGAGGAATTTTAGAATGTTCTTGCACCTTGGAGATTCCAAAGGGGAAATTCAGGACAGTTTGATTTAACCATCTTGGGAGAGAATATGATTCAAAATAATTGTATACATGAAATCAAGTTTAACCTTTTTTCCACTTTCTCTAGATCTTTGTAGGCTTAAATATTTAATTAGAGCTGAAGTGATTAACATTTAATATGTTTGCTTTATATAGTGGGTACTTCAAAGCTGGAAGTTACAAAACATGGACCACACTTGGCAAGAGCGTTTATTTACTTAAAACTGCTTTTAAATGTAATTATTAAACATTCAAGTATGTTTCATGTTAAAAGTTACTTTTCTCAAGTGTAGGGAACTTGATGTTTTGATTCATCAAAATGTAGTTTAAATAATAAAAGCAAGCACCACTTGTGCTTGTCTCAAAGAATCTAACAAGGAATCAGAAAAAGCACGCTAATTATTAAATGACAAGTGCTTTTAGGAAGATAAAGGCCATAATAATGCTAACAATTCTCTGGAAAGGGGAGAATGTTAATTTGAATAATACCCAAATGAATCCTTAGGTGGTTCCCATATTCTACCTGCTATGGATTTAATCAAGCCTTTGTCAAAGGAATGACTTCAGCAATTTTTGTAATCACAGTTTAGAAGAATTGAGTTTGAAGGGATGCCTGTATACTATTTTTTAAAGTACCTCTGAGTCTAGTTGATGCTTTTTTTTTTTTTTTAATCCTCATCCGAGGATATTTTTCCATTGATTTTTAAGAAGAGTGTAAGAGAGATGGAAAGACAGAAAGAAACAGCGATTGGTTGCCTCCTGCACGAGATTCACCAGGGCCCGGGCCGGGAAGGAGTCTGCACCCAAGGTACGTGCTCTTGAGCCAAGCTGGCTAGGGCAAGTTGATGCGTTTTTATAAGTATGGGCTGTACTTTAAGTCCTCAATTGTCATGGAAGTGCAGCAAAACCAATTGTACCATAGGCTAAAAGAGTTAAGTTTCTAGGGCATCGCATCAACTTTGTAACAAAACAACGTTGAAAGTTACCTTATTGGAGGATCTGCTGTACAGCTTTCTCTATAAGCTATTTGCAACGAGGAGAAAAATCATTTGGGTCTGTATCTCTTCTTTCTCCTTAAAAATACAATTACTGCATTTTTTAAGTTTAAAGTTTAATTTTGAAAAATGTATTATTTTTTATTTTATTCTCTTTGGTGAAATCAAAAGGGGAAATTTTGGACAATCCAACTGCAATACACTTCTATACCTTAAAATATTGCCTCAAGCCCTGACCGGTTTGGCTCAGTGGATAGAGCATCGGCCTGCGGACTGAAAGGTCCCAGGTTCGATTCCGGTCAAGGGCATGCACCTTGGTTGTGGGCACATCCCCAGTAGGGAGTGTGCAGGAGGCAGCTGATCGACGTTTCTCTCTCATCGATGTTTCTAACTCTCTATCCCTCTCCCTTCCTCTCTGTAAAAAAATCAATAAAAAATATTTTTAAAAATATTGCCTCAAGAGTTTAAGATTATTTAGAAAAATTTAAATTTCACATATATTTCATATGTATTAAATATATGTGAAAATCCACTACAAACAGTAATACATGAAACAGTTCAACTTTAAAAAGATTAAAGCCTCCATTTTAAATTGTAATAATTGTCTACTGGCGAACAGCTAGGAAGTCCAGAGTGTCAGATTTAGAAGGGTCAGGGAGTCCAGATAGTCAAGTCAGAACTCATTCTTGATAACATGTGACATTAGTTTTAAGTTTATAAATCTCTTTTAGTCAACTTTCAGTTTCCTCAGCAAGGTTGGAGAAGAAAGCATTTTTATTATCCAGTAAAGCATATTTAAATTTATTACCAATTTATTTAAAAATAATAATTTTACACATTCAGTACTGACTAGTTGAATTAAAATAATCAATATTTATTGGTCACCTTACACAAAGATTTCATAGTTTCTGAGTTTTAGTGGATAGATAAGAAACAAAAAGGAGTAGCTTAAAATGTATAAAGCTACAGGAAGTCTGGAGACTGTTATAAAATACCTTATTAGAAGACCGGGAGAGTAGGAAAATCTATGCCACAGATAAAAACAAAAAAGAAAACAAACCAGGCATGTGAACAAAAACCCTGAGAGAGAATAGAAAAGATGTCATATGTCTGGGAGTTGGTGAGGGGGTTGTCTGCCATCTTTTAAAAAGTAAAATACAATTGCTAATGTATATTTGAAAAGCCACAGAGTGCATCTAGGTAAAAGGGGGGAGGGGGAAACTGCTCAAAAAGATTTTGTGGAACATCTTTCTAGACACTAAAAGATGCTAATGAAAACATTTGTTTATTGTGTATCTCATTTGTCATTTAATAGCATACACC